AGCTCAGTTTTCGTTGTATTGCTCAAGCATTTGCAGAGCTGAGCCAACCGCTACAGTTATCATTGGATCTTACACTAAACTTTGTCTGATTCTTTAAGAAACTACAACAGCTGTTATGACCCCACAGCCTTTCTGCTCACCACTGCCGGCAGCACCATTTCTCGAAATCGTGGCTATGCTGTTTACAGATGTTATCTGCCAGCCGCTCCAAGTCGCTATTACATCACATTTTCTGGTCACATGTCAAAAAATCACACAATATTGACCATTACAGAGCCTCATAACGTGGCTAGGGAGGAACCTCAGCCTGCTTGAGTAGCGGGTTAGAAAGCAGGCACTAAGCGAAGGTCACGAGCGAAGACTGCACTAGGCCCGCGGCCCAGACCCCACAGCCTATCAATGGAACACAGCAATTTTCCGAATGGGGTATTTCCTAATGGGAAGTTGGTCTGCAAAACTTCTGAATTTTGGCGGTAGAAAATCCCATTGAACGATTCCAAAAATTGCATTCTAGGACTTGTGATTTCATGTCACCAGAACTTCAGAAGAGGAGCCATCTCTCGCCACACAATTCAAAACACAAGAGCACGCCGGGGCGCGGAGTACTTACTATCAGACGTTCAAATCCTCGCTGATTGCCTGTCGGAGTTTAAAGGCTTCGGAAAGCAATATTTTATAAAGAGAACTCCATCCCATCTCCCAGCTTTTTTTGTTCTACGAAAACTTCTCTCTCCACACATGTTTCCAACATTTTAGTTCCACAATCTATAATGAAAGAGAAAAAAAAATCTGCTTCCATCTTTTACTATGCCCCCAGCAGGAGTCGAACCCACAACAGCTGTGTACCACTTAAAATAGGAGACATCAGTCTGGAAGTTGATCACCTTGATCTACGGAGGCTGCACTCCTGTGCGTGTGGTCAGTCTTATTATGTATATATAGCAACAAAACGGAACATCAAGCCTCCCACTCTCTTGAATATATATAGATATATATAGAAATTATGATGGCTAAAGGAAAAATGTGCCAAGCTCTATGGAGTTCACATTTGCTGTAGATCTACCCAATGGCAATTGCACTCAAAGAGTCAAATTACAAATACTCGACACGGTCGTCAAATCTGACATCTATCTTTTGTGATTGAACCTTTTCGGAAGTTTTCCGCACATTTATTTGCTCATTATTTATCACGGAGGGGTCCAGATTTGTGGATCTTGACTGTATGTGCAAGCGAAGCGAAACAAATTAATTAACTGTACCACACTCGTGATGCCATGGTATTTAAAGGGCATTACAGCTCGGCACTCGAGCCTTTCAAATGTTGCCACATTTTCCGATACAACTGACAAACAATTAGCAAGAGCGACATGAGGTGGACAATAATTTCTCACCACCACAGAGTCTCATCTGTGCCACATTGTATAGGTGTCTGGAGGGAGGGAGGCACTACCCGCTAGCACAGCAGGCACCTGTGCTTCATCCCAGTATATTGCCGAAGGTATGCAAAGGCTACTAGCAACCACATTGACTACAGGTCGTCCAACTGATGAACATTGAGATCAAGAACCACCCTTGACTGACAGACAGTTAGCAAGAGCAACCTGCCGTAGACACTGTAACTTCTGACCACAAGACCTCATCGGCACCACATCATAGGTTTCTGGAGGTATGCACTACTTGCCAGCATAGCGGACACCAGTGCTTTGTCCTGGTACGTTTGCGAAGGTATACAAGGGCTACTAGCAACCGCATCGATTGTCAGTTGTCCAACCAATCAACGATGAGATCGAGCACCATGCTTGCTGAGAGCCCTCCAGCAGATCAATCTTATAACTGTAGTTGGAGTTAGCCTGCTCAGATGGGAAGGAAATAATCACAACTCTCTGCATCGACTGCAACACGCCCCTGCTTCATTTGCTTGACTTGGTCCGCTATCTGTCCTACATGCATCTCTTTTCCAGTCACCTGCTTGATGAAATCAATGAGGAATATGTTGTGTTTATTCCCTGCAGCTTCCATTTGAATGTCTTGATAAGCCCGAATCCCTGTGAGGTAGACATTTGTTTAGAGTGAATGCAGTAATCACCAGAGCCAAAATCTTTATACCTGCAATGAGTGCAGATACCCTGGCATTTCCCAAGTCAAACATTATACCCTGCGGTTCTGGACAAACAAACAACAGTGGAGTCCACACATGATGTACAATTTTTTTTCCTTTCAAGGCACTTGCAGCCACGAACCCCAGGCGCACACTGAATAACTATGTGAGTTAGGCTGCAAGACTTTCAAGCATAAACCATGACCTTGTCTGTCATAGTGAATTTTGACATTGATAAAGATCAACGTGGCAGATAAAAGGACGTCTTGTGTGATGGATTCACAACTCCACAAGTGACATGCTTCCAACTTCCCTTTCTGTATCGGACAGCAGAGGTGACATGCTTCCTGGGCAACATGCCCAGGTACTGTGACACAAATTTTTCTGTCCATGGATTCCACGGTAATAGAACGGAACAAAGTTGAGGCCACCTTTGTCATAATCACATCTCCAGACAACTCCACCGATAACCGCTGACATTCAGACGTGGTCAAGTCTGTATGGCACCGGCAACTCCTGACAAATATTACCTAGGTCGCACTTGCCGGCTCTTTGAGATCTCCAGATACTAACCCTATAAAGTCGTCACAGGAAGAATACTGCCACTCGAAATATATGATGCACAGATATACATCTGACCAACTTGCACCACCTACAGCTTTGCGGTGCTGCATTTGATAACCTTCACCTGGACTGACACAGTCAACAAGTCTCCTATGGTCCTGCTGGTCAGCATCTGCACCGGCAATGAATACTACCAATACAACTGGCACAAGCTCGGATGCTCATCGGAAACACCTCTATAGTGAAACTCAGTGATGCAACCTCCCTGGCACAATCCCATGAAGAAAATAGCCCCAATCTACCTGGTTGTTGCACTCATCATCATTGTCAGTTATTGGATATCTCGACTCGAAATCATCAAATATGATTCTCACATTATCCTCCCATTTCTCTGCCTACTAGACTTGGTGGTTGTTGGTGTTGTTGATATTGGTATTACCGACTGCATTCTACAGTACTCAATAGTTGGAACCCCTGAGACGGTTTTGGTGTGAGTCAGGGGAACTACATTGACTGAGCGTCCTTCCCGTGGACCTTGAAGCTATGAGAAACCATCTGGAGCACCTTCTAGAGGGCGAAGAATGGAGCACTTAACTGCCGCTATTGTTGGTGACGATTGGCATGGTCAGTCTTTGAGAAAGCCACTGAAAGGGTCATTACTTACCTGCTTATTGGTTTCTCAGTACCAAGTTGTTGGATGAGTCGACAGGTTGACAGCATTCAACCTCGTTCCACGCAACCTGAGGATAATTACGACAAGCATACGTAGTTCGATGATAGATCGTAAATGCACGTGTTCTTGGCAACAGGACATACACATGCACTGTATTCGAAGATGGTCAATTGAAACAAGGAGTATCTTATCGATTCAGAATGTTAATGGTTAGCTACTGCATGAGAAACCACATCACGGTGCACTTCCGAAATCATACAACAATCAAAGTATTAAAATATTCATTCATATTAGCCCTTTTTTACTCTCTTGTTTCACCCTTTTTTGCATTCTACCAGGAAACCCATGTGACCAGAGATTGAGCTCCAGAAAAGGTTTCTCAAATGTACACTTGCAAAAAGAAGAAGGAGCACAAAACGGAATGCAGACAGGGAGACAAAAAGGGCCAGAAAAAGGTGAACCATGAAAATGACTATTCCAATTGATGGGCTCAAGATCAATGAAAGAAATGGTCAAGATATAAAACAAACATCCTTAATCCAAAACAATATCAGCCCAACCCCGGTTCAAACGGAGCCGCGCTGTTGAAGGCAACAACCCACCCCTGGATAACATACAATTCAAAATCTCATAGCCTACTCATGCCTTCATCACACTTGATGACTGGATCAAGATATGGTCTAGTGGTATAAGGGTAACATACCTTGGGATGTTAATGAAGGAGGATTCGACTTCCCAAGTGGTTCCCGGTGCAACTCCGGGCTAGACTGTAAAAATATATGCTTTTTATTTTGTGGCCACACTGGTCCAACTTGTTGGCCAAGATACATTACCATCACGTCCTTAGGCATCGCTCAGTCATCTAAGAATGTTGAACAACACAGAAATACCGCAAAGACCTGCTTGTAAGTTTGATGCATCCCATATCAGTTTATATATGTACAAGGAGCTGCCGGGGTGCCATGTGCCCTTGCAACTCCGTTGAGTGTATTCGAACCACGTCGACATGGCCAATAAGTTGTCCACATCGTTCGTTGTTGACTGTCAAAGTTGTGTCGACTGCTAACAGAGTTTATAAGCTTCGTACAGACAGACACTATTTTAATGACCCTCTTTCCTCAACTGATCCGAGCCACTAAAGTATTACCAAATCAGAATACAAACCATTTTATACAAGGCTCGGAACCCTCGCCCAACCTTCGGTCGGCTCGGGTCCCTTGCCCAATTGGCGCTACACCTCGTCCCGGGCCATACATCCAATTGTGCCTTGATCATCTCATACAACTGGTGTCAGTAAGATTAGACTGGAGACAATTGCTTTTTAAACCAGCGAAAAATTCACCTTTCTTTCAATCCAGTATCCATCTGTCCTTGCGGCACTAATTGAATTTTCAAAATTCACTGCTGACATGCAGCTTGTTCGAGCCTACAGTAAGATATCACTGATTCAAAATACAAACTCAGCCAAGGCTCGGGACCCTCACCCACTCCTTGCTATACTTTGCCCCACCACGCATCCAATGGTTCCTCAAATTATATCATACATAATACAACCCATGCCTGTGCAATCTAAAAAACCAGCCCCCCTGTCACCTCGGCGACCCTCTGTCTATAGCAGCAACAATTTGATGTGTTCCAATGGGACTGCATTTTTTTTCTATCATAGCCCCTGTAGATCATGGTGATCACCGGCGAGAAATGGCACTCTGATTCACAACTTACGCAGGTGTTGTTGCGGGTTCGACTCCCACCAGGGGCATTTCATTTCTTTCATTTTTACGAGGTGCACTGGCAACCCTGCCCTCATCCCTGCGCCCTCCCTGTTCACATCTGTGTCACTACCTTCTTGCTCAGCTGTTGTGACCCTGCTTGCTGCCGCACGCGCCCCACGCCATTTCTCGAAATTGTGGCTATTCTGTTTACAGATGTTATCTGCCGGCCCCTCGGAATCAATATCGCATCACATTGGTCACACATCAAAAAATCAATATCTATCAATGATATCGTGGCTGCGGGAGGAATGAGGCAGTACACTAGTACGCTAGTCACGAGCGAAGACAGCCCATCACTGGAATACAGTAATGTTCCGAATGGGGTATCTCCTAATGCGAAGTTGATCTGCAAAACTACTGAATTTTGGCACTAGAAAATCCCATTGAACAATTCCAAAAATTCCATTTTAGGACTCGCAATGATGACTTTTTTTGATCTATTTGTATTTTGTCTTACTACAGAGATTTGGATGGAAAATACCACCACAGAGATTCCCCAACCCCATAACGTGCGGTGGGTAGGAGCGTGGTTTTAACTCGGAGTCTGAGTCTGAGTCAGAATCCTTGGGCTCCAACTCTGACTCAGGATCGCAGTTCACGACGGAATTGCGAGTCCGAATATTGATCAGTGGTCGAATCAACATCCATAGGTTTGGACCCACCACTAAAGAGGTCTAGCTTCTCTGGATATATTCTTCTTGTGCAACGAGACATGCAAGATCCACTGCAATATTGAAGGGTGGCGGGCCCATCTCTTCAAGTGAATGGCCATGATAATGAGAGCTGAATGATGGTGCGAGAATTTTCTCAACCGTGATGACTGCACGCAGCACGCTTCGTTTGCAATATGCTGATAGTCTAGTTGTTACCGCGGGGGTCTGATCGCTGATAAGCCGTGAAATTTGCAAAACCTCAAATTTTACGAATGCATGACATTCAGCGCTCATCCAGAGGTTGGCGTGAGCTCCAAACGTGCAACCCAGAGCCATATTGCATTATCATCTTAAACTGGCAATAACAGCTTATTCCTGGAAACTTCACCCTTGGGACACTTGGGGGTTGAATCCGGATTAAGGCTTAAAGCCCATACATCAAAGTCCTGGAACACCCTCTATTCGTGGGAAGGCAAAGCAATGCTCACTATCAAAGGGAGAATCATATTATCCACCTCTGGCATTTATTGGCACACTGGGAACCTTATTCGGAAGGGAAAACACCTAGTTGTTTACACGACTTTGGCTTACCCGACGCGACGCGATGGGTCACCTGATCAAGGCCTGGACCTACAATTATTACTCCTATACACCGGATCCGCAACAGCGCGATCACCCGATAAAGCCGCAGACCAGATTAAGCTTGTACTGCGTGTTTCTGGATACTAATTAAGGGCATCTGGGGTATCGTTGGAAAGGTATTGAACCATACCATCCAGTCAACGATACTAGAAGTCGGGGCATTCACTACAGAGGAAGATATGGGTCAATTATCCTATCCAGGGGACTATTTACACATATAATCCCCTGATCGATGGGAGTCATTATACGGACACATAGGAGAGTTCGAGTAGCGAATAAGGGCGCCAGGACGCACGCAGCTTATACCGATTGCAGGCTAATTAATTAAGTAGAATACCTGAGGCCTGGTAATCACGCACATGTAATAGTTTTTGTACAGTATATAAGGAGGGCAGAACCAGGGAGGACGGCACTGAACCAGACCCCAGAAAGTGAGAAGCAATACAGCCCTTGCATACGGAGTTGAAGTTTAGGCTTGAATCTTTGGCTGTCAATTAGTCTCAGAATTTAAGTTCGGTTTTGGAATAGTATCAGTGGGATTTATAAGTGTCAGTTACGGGGCGTGAGCCATACCAAGTCCGAGGCGTGAGCCATTGTGTGTGTTTTGAGGCGTGAGCCATAGTTACGGGGCGCGAGCCAAGCAAGTTTGAGGCGGGAGCCAAGTCAGTAGGAATAAGGCGTGAGCCAAAGCAGTGGAATAAGGCGTGAGCCAAACAACCGGGTCTAAACAGCCCACCGGATTAATAGTCCACCAAAAACAAACCGGTCTAGAGCCGTTATATCTGCATAGTTGGGAAACTTAAATCCACGTTGGGAACCAACCAATAAATTCAGGTTGTGTCTTGAACGCCACTTCAAGAAACTAGTTGAGACTTAGCCACCCTTGGGGGAACGGGAATTGAATACTTTCGTGACAAATACGTTTACTCGTGGTTTCCTTGGACCTATACTTGTGTCCAAAAAGACCCGAATCTCGTCAGTGTATCAAGGTCATTAAGGGAGTGTGTTGGTGTTGGAGTCTGTCTATTGTCGGTTTAGTCGTGCTTAATCTCACTTTGTGAGTTAGGTGTAACTCAGTCGTTCGATAGGGGGGATTTTGGCAGTTGCATATTTAGACCGTTGAACCTGAGCAACCCTTTCATCTGGAGCCCACCGCAAGGGGACCAGAGTTGACGTATCACTTGTTGAAGATTCACGGTTGCCCTTGGACGCAAGCCCAGTAGCCGAAGGTTGTGGTTGGAAAGACTTTGTGTCAATTCAAAAACCCAACAACTCCGTTCTCCGAATAAAGAGGACTGAGAATAAACTACCCCACTTTGTTTTAAAAACCCAAAAAAACGAAGAAAAGATTCCGTCTCAACGCGAAGAGCAATCGGAGCAGAGCAAGAGTCAGGAAGCAGAGTACAGTGGATTAGGACAACCAACGTATTGGGAACGGAAATCAGTTCGTTCACAGAACAGATTAGTTGCCAATCGTTCTCCTCCTCTGGATCAATCAAGTGCTTCCACAACAAGAAATCGAAGGCCTACCCCAGCTGAAACAGCAAGGGCAGAGCAGTCAAGCATCTCACAACATCGCGCGGACACATATCGTTCGCAACAAATCAGGAGACAGCCACCAAGGCTTAATCCAACGGTCCAAACTAGCCACGAACTTAGTTCCGACGCTGGTCCACCAGGTTCTCTAATTGATCCTGCTCAAGTCGGTTTACCGCAAACACCAGAGGAAGAAATTCCTTTAGTGTTACCGTTGCCTGCAATAGTTCCAGTTACCCAAGCCGTGCAGGCTCCACCAGTACCATCTGCACTACCCCTTCCAGCACAGAATAAGAAGATGCCCGTTCAAGGTTTCAAGATTCCGGCGTCGTATGACCACAACGCGCCGAGTTTCGATGGAAAGACGGCCGGGAGTTTGAAGAGGTTCCTCCGGCAATGCAAGAAGGTCATGACTAAGGGACAGGTCAAAGACGCAGAAGAGCAGAAGACCTTGTTGTGTGGATACCTCAGAGACGAAGATATTCGAGAGCAGTGGGAGGCTCTCTCGGAATATAAGACGGGAAAGTTTGAAGATTGGTTGGCAGAAATGGAGGAATTATACCCAGAGTTGCAGACTCTAGAGACAGGTTCTTTGAGGAAGTTGGCCAAGATCTGTGATGACAATTTGGGCATAATCGCGTCCGATAAGGGCAAGGTTAGGCGCTTCAATATTGCCTTCCAGACCGAAGCCCTTAAACTTCTTACGGAACCCGCTCTAATCACCAACTTTCGGTTGGTGGAATTGTACCTTGAAACCCTTGACAATACCTTTGCGCTGGAGATCAAAAAAATGATCAACCAGCACAAGTATTGGCAGGATAAGGGGATTGTTGCTAAGCCTGCGGCACCCACCACGGGAGCTGCACCTGTTGAGCGCGACGAGGACACCTTACCACTTAAAGATGTCATGGAAATCGCGGAGTCCTTAACCAAGATCGCAAATGATCAAGGACTTGGCAAAGCTAGTGGGACACCTAAAGATATGGGATTAAGCATCAAGCGAGAAATCACTGAGAAATTAGAGACTTTCGCTGGCGAAATCGCCAAGATTAAGGATACCCAGGTCTTGCTCGAGCAGAGGGCTGATACGCAAGAGAAACGGCTTGGAGAAACTTTCAAGGAGCAACTGGCTAATTCTGAAAAGAATATGGAGAAGTCATTCAAAATGTCCTTCGCCCAATATTCTAGGGACGTTCCCCCTCATCAGGATATTAATCAAAACCAGGGATCCTGGAATAGGAATAACCAAGGCGGACAAGGGACGAACCAGGATTATAGGCCTGATTATAATCGTAACAATAACAACCGCAATGGTTACAACAGTTATAATCGAGGACCGGATAAATCTACTGGGCCTAATGGCGAACCCTTGTGCTTCTTCTGTTGGCTCGAACACTTGGTTCGTGATTGTGTCCACAAACAAGAATATATTGATAGTGGAAAGATCATAATCGAGAATGGGTACATGAAACTGGCAAATGGGGACCCTATTCCTAATACCGGGAATTGGAAGAGCAAAAAGGCAAGAGTGGATGATTACTATGCGAATAATCCGCATGTGAAACCAGTTCCACCTGCACTGCAAGCCTATGGGGGTTTACCCTTCATGCAGTATAATCAGAACGCTCAGAGTGATTGCCTGAGCGGAGAATACGACACAAGGGACGATGAGATTAGGTCGTTTAGGGTCCAGAGGGCGTTGCAACAAAACAACCTCTTATCCCCCGGACCGGCCAATCTACCTACCAATCCGGGCAATACTCAATTTGTTCAAACTCCACCTGGAGGGTTACCTGCTGGAATGGATATCAGTCAGTTTGTAAGCCTAATCGATTACATTCGGACACAAGATGGAGGTGGAAGGGCAGCGGAACAGCTAGTACAGACCAGGAGTGGGAATAGGAGTGATCCCGCTTCAAAGTCGAATTTCTAGATGGCACGATGAAGGAGGCTGGGGCTAAGCAAAAAGCTAAGCCCAAAACCCCAACTCAACCTCCGGAGAGCCAGAAGAAAGTTAGGATCGCAGAAGAATCGGAGAATTGGAGGACCAAGATTAAAGGAGTTACGGTTGTTGAGGATAATGTTAGTGATGTTGAGGATGAGCTAGAGGTTGAAGGAGTAAATGATCTGGAAGAAGCACCGGCCAGATCCGTTCA